CCTCCAAAGGCGCGCCCCATTTGTCAGTCAAAATTGGATTCCTTAGCAACAAAATTAATGAATGACACCGAAAATGACCATGCATCAGAACCCTAGTCTTAACCACTTCAAACTAGGGAACAACGAATAGAAGATTAGGAATCACATAGATGAAGACTAACTAACTCATTTTTTTCTTGTTTCAAGATCATCCTCGGTGGACAAAGCCGAGTCTTGTCACTATCAACAAGGCATAAAAAGTAACAAGGCATAAAAAGTAACAAGGACTAAGATGTGTTCCTTGGACTACTGAAAAATCCTGTTCCCCTACTTTGAAGTAGTCAGGACTAGGAATCGGTGGTAGATCTTACATCCCGTAACGTACTACGAAATGGTGATCTACCCGCGTTACGGGGCAGCCATTCTTCATTCTTCATTCTTCGTGAAAAAAAAAAATCGCTGATAGTGACTCCTTGAAAGCAAAATTGGCAGGTTTTGTGTCTACAGCACATTTCTTACAACTTCTTATTGAAACTTACAAATACGAAAAATATCATTAGGGGAAACAGTCCTATTGTTGCGGTACTTTAGAAGCGGTAGAAGCATATTATTCAAAACTGTTGGAAAGCGTTTTTACAACGCTCCAAACTTCTCAGGTGAGTGCGACTATTGTTGGTAGCCCCTTTTTCTTCGGCATTTTTTCCATTTGATCTGCGTATTAATCAGCTGTTCTATTATCGACGCATTTCGCGCCAAATCGAATCGAAGCTGGCAATACCCTCTCAGATTTTAATGAAATTTTCTGGATGTTCCAAAATTTATCTAGACTAACATTTAAAAAGGGCCAAACTTTCTCTGACAGATTTAAAAAAAAAATATTATGGAAAAATGACAACTCCTACAAACATGTGTTGTATGGATGACTTTTAGGAAATTGTCCAAGTTTTCGAAAAAATACTGAAAATAATTCCATTTGAGACCTATACTGAAAAACATCGATTTTTAATTTTAAAATCGATTAAAAAATGGCCATGCTTGATTTGGATGAAACTTTGCCTCAAGATAGGTATTTATGTTTACTACCATCCATACATCGCGAGATGGGCACTTTTAAGGAAAAAAAAGATTTTCATACAAAAACTTTTTCATGTCTGAACTGTTTTTTTAACGTACCATTTTCACACAAAACTAAACCAGTGAAGCTCAAAATCATCTCAGAATCCAATGAAGCTCAATTTGTGATTCAATTTTGTCTGATCAGCAACGTATCACTTGGATTAATAGAGAATTCTATATGAAAAGGGCTTATATCATTAGAAAATAAAAAAAAATTGATTATATTGTCTACTACTGAGGCAAAATCCGATACTTCTATAGCAACTTAGCATTCTTAGCTAAAATTATCCATAAAGAATTAGGTATGAACAAAATTTAAATTGAGATCTTCTTTCGTATCAACAACGATTTGGGAAGTCATCCTATCGCATCATAATTCTATATGCCCTTCTGTTATTTATACCTAAACCATTAACATTATATACCTACCACTTCATTCTACCTATGAGCACTATAAAACTAAGCAGTCAATCTGATAACGAAAGTTGTGAAGACAATTTTTAGTAAAATTATTATCATAGACCAAAGTAGTAAATTAAGGCTCAAAGGATTGTTATACTGACATGCAGGTTTTAAAAACCTGTTTAAAATACTGAATTGCCAAGGCAGGAACAATGTAAACACAATTAGATATATATCATAACAATAAAGGCTGGTAAGTTACTGTAGTAACTGGAGCACCTAGGTTAAAATGAAATGTAATTTATTTTGAATATAGAACAAATAAAAAGTTTAAAAAAAGGTTCAAAGGATTGAAATCTTGTGAAAATATAAATAATCCGAGATGCAACCGAAATAAGTTACGGGCCATATCGTCAACGATGGTAGAGAAAAAAAATACATTCTATGGTTATAACCACAAAATTCTTAAACGATGAGAATTTGTAAGTCATGCCGTAGCGTGATATCTCATAATAGAAGTCCAGTAATGAAAAAACGCCGATCGGTTGGAAATGAAGTAAATATCCAACCGTCAACTAGTGGGCAGCAGCATAGTGATGATCCAGGTCCATCAATGAGTGGCCATCAATCCGTAGATGAGCTAGGTAAGAACAGTCATCCTGATGATTCTATCAACTTTTAACTGAACCTCCTAATTGCACTTATTATTTATTTTTATTTTCTTCTTTCCTTCAGATACGGTACCATCGGTTCTATCATTGGAGTCAGTTCCATCAGCAGATGATCTGCAACGCCCATACAATGTTGAGAAGTTTAATGGCTTTGTGGAAACGTCGAATTTATCTCCAATTTCATCGAGGAACATGAGGAGCATAGATTAACGTTAAAAAAATCTCTAGAAATTACACAAGCAGCGCGAAAAAATATATTTGGCCCAGACATTAGCAAAGTAGAGACATACGAAGAAATTATTGTGCAGCTAAAGGAGAAGTTCAATTCCCCTACAGCTGACAGAAAAGATCAGATAACAGTATTATCAATATTGCCAAAGTCTTGGTCTGTGAATAAAGTCGTAGCAGAAATTCAAGAAGTGGGCATGGGATCAACGCAACGAACTTATAACTCATGGCTTTATTTAAAAACAACAGTCATCTTTTCTAAGAAATAAAAATAAATCATTAAAGGAAGGGGAAATTCTAGCAATTTGTGATTTTTCTGAAAACTATTCATTCATTATCCAAAACGCTGCTCAAGGATATCACTGGAATAATTCTCAAGCAACAATACATCCAATTGAAGTTTATTATAAGAAAGACAATGAACTTGAAAATGTTAGCTTCATTATCATATCAGAAGTAATGACTCACGATACAGTTGCAGTTCAGTTGTTCATCTTAAAAATGATAGATTTTATTAAAAAATCGATAGATTTTTCTAAAGTTACTTTTATGTCAGATGGAGCAGCCTCACAATAAAAAAAACTATGCTAGTCTGTGTAGATTTCAGTCAAAGGATGGATTAGAAGCAGAATGGCATTTTTTGCAACGTCTCATGGAAAAGGTCCCTGTGATGTCATTGGTGGCACTCTCAAGCGAATGGCAAAGAGAGCTAGTCTTCCTCGAGATTATGGAAACACCATAACAACTCCACGAGAATTATATAACTGGGCAATTGAACAAACAGATTAAAATATCACAAAACTACGTTTCGAGTACATATCCACTGAACAGTACATCGAAATGTCAGAAGAACTCTAAGAACTATATCACAGCACAAAGACAATATCTGGCACATAGAAATTCCACAGTTTTGTGCCTATAACTGGTGACAAAGTAGCGGTGAAAAGGTATTCTAATTCAGAAGATGAACCAAAAATATTTAACATGATTGGAAAAAGGAAAAAATAGTATGTATGAAATAGGTTTAAAACATTGAAAATATATAAATAAATGATGTATGAAAAATCTTGTCTTTTTTCTCTCAAATATTATCAGATTTTGCCTCAGTAATAGACAACAGAATAAGGGAATGATATTTTTTTGACAATGTCTACATGTCCAGAAAGTTTTATTAAACTCTGATTAGACAAAATTGAATCCTAAATTGAGCTTCATTGGATTCTGAGATGATTTTGAGCTTGAAAAACTTTTGATAGAATTTTTTTCCTTAAAAGTGGCCATCTCGCGATGTATGGACGGTTGGTAGTAAACATAATTACCTATCTTGCGACAAAGTTTCATACAAATCAAACATGGCCATTTTTTATAATCGATTAATGGAATTTTCTTCAGTATTTTTTTTTCGATAATTTGGACTATTTCCTAAAAGTCATCCATACAACACATTTTTGTAGGAGTTGTCATTTTTCCATATTATTTTTTTTTAAATCGTCAAAAAAAGTGTGGTCCTTCTCAAAGGTTAGTCTAGATAAATTTTGGAAAAACTATGTATATGCATTATTTAGTCAAGATCCACACATCCAGAAAGTTTCATTGAAATCTGAGAGGGTGTTGCCAGCTCCGAATACGATTTGGCGCGAAATGCGTCTATCAGCAACTCGAAATCAGCCTCATTTAGTAGTGGGTATATTTCATTTAAAGGAAAATCTGGCTTAACAGGATTGCTCCGTTGCAAAAATGAAGCTGAAAGACTAAAGAAGGGTTTTGATGGGTAAATACAGTAAAATTATCGTTTAAACTTTATGTGCCGAAAGCGGTGAATGCCGAAGCCGACATTTACCTTATTTGAATTGTAAAACTTAAAAAAATACTAGCGATTTGGTTGATTTGTATTGTATTTTGAAATTGAAACCAGACCCCTAAAAAGGGTGGATTCACAAGAAAAAGTGTGAGTTTACGTTGAATCATCTTGGAGTCTTCTGCGTTCTTAGCTGATAAGTGCGCCGAAGCTACCAAAACGATTTAAATTAAAAGCGCACTTTTATTAGCGCTTCCGCACTACCAATCGCACCTATAATGTGCGCAATGTCTCTGTGAATGAAATAGTTTTTAATTAATATGACGGCTCAAAATCAAGCCGTAAAAAAAGTGTTTTCGATTTTGTTTCAAAACTCTTGAATTCCTTTGGAAGCCTTAAAAAATCATTTCAAATTTGCAAGCTAAACCATTTTGTATGATCAGTAAGCATGTTATCTTCATTCAGAACTGTTACTAATAAACAGATGAGATAAGTTGTCTGAATTCTAATGTTGTGATGGACAGTCATATGTATGATTTCATTCAACTTTTTCGAGACATGTTTGTTATGCAGACGTTGCCATAGAATTGAGGTAGTTTAAATTAGCTGAACACGAAACTTTTATCTTATTGAGGTAGTTATGAATAAACAAATTTCAACACTGATCTTATCGTCCGTAGAAAAATTCAAAGTACACACGTTCAAACGGGATTATTCAAAACCAAGATCTTAGAACAGAGAATAGACAACTGAGAGGCTACAAATTGCTAGAGGTATCTCTGTGGAGATTGATCAAAAACGCTTACTATTTGCCTGATACCATCCTCCGGGCGTTGGTATTGGTAATGGTAATGGTGGTGGAGGGCCTGCGATGGCCACGTGGCCGGAATAGGCGGCATTCTGAGTAGCGCTTGACGGTAATTTACCTGGTCCCAGGGGAGCAGCAGCGGCAGCAGCCATGGGTGGAGGCGGTGCAGGTGCACCAGTTGCCATGGCCAGAGTAGCCAATGGCGGTAGAGGTGGTGGTGGTGGCAAGGGCGGTGCTGCTGGTGGACCACCGAAACCGACAACTCCCGGTGGCATCGGAGGAATGGGAGGAGCTAGTGAAGAAGAAGGAGGAGGAGGAGGAGGAGGAGGAGGGGGAGGAGGAGGTGGTGGTGGTGGTGGCGGAGGTGGAGGTGGAGGTGGTGGTGCTTTAAGCATAGATGGCGGAGGGGGTGGTGGAGGTGGTGGAGGAAGTGGAGGAGGTGGGGGAGGTGGAGCTGCAATCGGAACAGGTACATTATCGATGAGCTTTTCTGGGTCGGTTTGCGTTTCCTGGGTTACTAGTTGTTTGGTCGTATCGGGAATGCTTTGCACTGGCTGATCACTTTCGACAGTACTGGAACTTTGCTCATTTGTGGCCACTGTTTGCTTACAGCAGTGTTGGCAGATATAGACGGTAGAATGAGCCTCGTTATGGTTGTTATTGAACACAGTGCCGTTAGTTAGGTTACTATTGCTATCACTAGTGTTAACGTTCGGCGCGGAGCAATCACTGCGGTTATGAATACTGTTAGGTAAGCTTGTGTTAATCATATTGGAATCACATTCAGTCGATAAATTTCCATTAATACGTGGTGTTTCTGGTTCCTTTGCTGAACTAACGAGTGGCGGTGCCTTTGGAGGTGTCACTGGCTGTTTCGTATCTTGTTCGATAGGATAAATCGTCACTTCGGATTCATTGAGCAGGTCACTTAGAATGCACGTTCGATTTTTTGCTTCCACAATTTCCACTTGATTTGAATGACCATTATCCACTTCAATTAGGAATGTTCGAATCAGTCTTTTCACATCTGTCATATTTTCACACTTGCTCACTTTGTTCTTTAGATCTTCGAGGTTGGAGTCGGCCTTGGGTTTGACTGCCTTCGGAGTACTTGTTTTGATGATCATTTTGCGCTCCTCATTTTCGCTTTCTTCCACAGGACCGGTGGTGGAATGAGCTGCCGATTTGGTTGCTGCTTCGGAGGATGGAACAATGTGTGGCCAAACAACGTGGGGTTCCAACCGACCTGGAGTCAACGGTGCAGGGGACGGTACTTCCGTGTGAGTCCACTGGTACATCAGGTTTGGCTGACAATATAGAAATGAATAGAGATATTCGGATTATTATCGCTTCATTCAGCCATTCATTGCATATTTGGTCAGTTGGATTTAATCGAAGAATTTGTGGTTGTTGATTTGCGGTTGCAAGAGGGTGAGTTTCCACTGCCACACCGGAGAGGAAGGCAACATACATATTAATTCGATCAAATGAGATGAAAACGAGCTTGAAAGCAGCCAATCTTGAGGAGACGCATTCATCGTCATCTTTGAGTCACCTTCACATTGCGCTCTTTGAATGACGAAAGCCGAAATGATTTGATCATGCATGCAGCTATACGACGGTGTGTGGCTGGTATAGCATATATGCGTAGGTTGTTGAATTATATTTAACAGCCGGCTAGATAGGTACCGAAAACAAGAAACGATCACGAATAAGAGGGGTATACCGAATGACAATGCCACTGGACCTGCCCGCCTGAAATGTGCATTGAATTGGATTGTAGGTGGTCGTTCAGTGTCTACTGAAGCAGCCACTATGGCTTGTTGGTAAATTTGATGAGTTTGATATGTGAAATAAACTACATTTTTTTTTCATTGTGTAACCAATGATTAATTAGTAATCAATGGGTAATTGCCGAGATCATAATTCGATTTAAACCAATTCAAAAGCATATGTGTTAGATATCAGTCTTTCACTCACCCGAAATGTCTCCTGCGTTGGCGCCAGTTTATCCGGTATTTGTTTAATTACACCGGCAACCATCAGGTTTGTGCAATACTGCAGCATCACCGTGTGCAGCTCTAGCTCGTTGACCCTTACGTTCGTGGACTGAAGAGTTGATGCTAGCCAATTCATGAGCATTTGACCTGGGAAAGGATAAGAAAACCGTCGCAAGTTCAATGTTGATTACTGTTATTCCCGAGAATGGACTTTTATCTATGATATTGGATGACAGAAGACACATACTCCTATCCGACAATGACGCTTCCTTATCTCCAACGGACAACAACTGATAAAAATTGCTTCCACGCTGAAACCACTTTCGCCGATGCCATTTGTAGCATGGGTGCTCGTCGTCAAACACTACGACCACTTCACGTGTTTCGTAAATCAGGTACACCCAAAAAACACCCTGCTGGCCGAGAATCATCTTTCCTCGGTAGATGGCAAATTGAATTAGAGCATTGAAAATTTCGCAGTTGATTGTGGATTTTTTCCACTCCAATTGTGGTCTGGTAAAAGATTTTTTCCGGTTTCGATGGCCCCGTAGCAAAAGTCGAAACCTTTCGCAGCGATTTTCATTGATTACGGTGAATTTAAAGGCGTGCAGAAAGAGTTTGTGCGGGAAAAGCTGCTCGCAGAAGATTTTTGGCTTGATGAATGCACTTTCGGTCATTTTTGGGTACCGAATTTGGCAAACTATGTGACTCAACTATGAATGTTCACTGGTGTAGTTTCGAGGCAAGACTGATCAAGCGAAGCAGTGACAAACGACGCGACGCATGGCTATTGTTTGGTGTCTACGTTTATAGAACCGCGATAAGTGGGTGTTAATTGACATCGGACTGGAAAGGTGTGAGCGTAGCTGAGGATAGTGCTGAAGGATTTTTAATATAATAAATATTGCAGATATATTTGCATGGCATGTATTCAGTGCTCGTGCTAGGAAATTTTACTTTTCAATGGTAGCTTGGAAAAGAGCTGTTCATAAACTACGTACACAGGTTTTGAGAGATTTAGACCTTCCGCTTAAACAAACATTCATTCATTTTTTGAATGAAAATTTATTTGGACCGTAGCACTTGCAAAACCTTTTGAATTTTTGTAACCTGTAAATTTCTCATGATTTGAACTTTGTTGGCGGATTCGACTCTGAGGAGTTTTGTAATTGAAGTTTGGCTCTGTTTAGTGAAAACACCAAAATGTTTTCTCTATCCAACGTTTCGGTCCTCATTGGACCTTTTTCAATAATTTGAAAGTGAGGGTGTTTTCTTGTCAACTTGACAATGTTAAGTGTTAATTTTTGTTTCTGAATTTAGATACTGGGGTTGATTAAAATTTTGATGTGTTTTACTACCGGTTTTGATAATATTTAAGTTCTAACCGCTTTCTCGAGGATATCCGAAACCAACTACAGAGTGACCGTTCTTTGGTGGTTCTCAAAATGTTTCAATTAACATCAACTTGCATAATCAAGTAGCTTGATACTCAAATTTAAAGGGTTTAGTGGAAAACAGATACTGGCCACTTTTCCAGAACAAATTCAGTAGACGACAGTGGACTTGTTATAGAGCCTAGTGTTTGAGAAAAAAATATAATATTTCAGATTTTCAACCTATATACCACAAAAATTGCAAGTTTGATATAACCTCAGAACATGCGACACATTTCCAATATACTAAAATAGTTTCCTTGTCGAATGCTTCTAGGTTCATCATCAGTAATCAATCAGTTAATTATGAGCATTTCCAGACCAAATAACAATAAAAAAATAGTCAAATTTCAGACTCGACCTTCTCCGATTTGTATGAAACTTTGCATAATTGTTTGTTATGGTCAATCATTCACATTTGAGTGAAAATTAGGCCATGGTGAATAACAGAAAAAACCTCAAAATGGTTTATTCTAAATTTTTCAACAAATTGTAACTCGAAAACGTTACATCCGATCAAAATGACGTCCGAGACAAAGTTGTAGGAAAAAGTTATCTTGAAATACAAAAAAATATGTTAAAACTTATGTACGATTGAAGACGTAACGGGTTTTCCAACTCCCGAGAGCAAACGCAGCTTTTGTTGTGCTGTTAGCTTTAAGCTGCAAGGTTATGTTTATTTAATCTAAGTTTCAGTAAACCTTTGTGATCTTCTGGAGTTCCGGGTACAATTGGACCAGGTTTACCACTGTTTATTACGTCCAAAACAGCTAGTTTAAACGGCTGGTCGTCGAAGAAATCCCGTTGCAGCGCGTACGAGCGCCTGATGGACACTCCCGTCTTTGCCAGGGAACACCTGCTCGATGCGTCCTCTCAGGACGTCCTCCTCTCAAGATCCTTCTCTTCTTTGAATCATTTGTATTTGCGTGTGATTACTGGCAGGTATTCTTTCTCCCATCGCCACCAGAATTCTTCACTGATGAACTGCACCAGATTTCAGTTGGTCCTAAGTATAGCACGGCTGTCTACATGAGCCGTCGGATGAATTTTGACCCCAATAGAAAAAGCCTCCTGATAAGCTGACTCCAATAATGGTACAAAAGTGAGTGGCCTACTGTTGATCATCGCCTCGGCTTCTAGGATCACGGTCTCCAGGGCTTCGCCATCGGGCTTACGAGCGGCATCCAAAACTGCCCCGGGTGCACCCTTAACCGCCCGAGCTAACCGTTCTCATATGCCTCCCATGTGGGGCGCAATAGGTTGGATGAACTTCCAGCTGTTTTATGCGCTCGTGAAAGGTAAGCGCTAGGGTATCATTCCGCTTCTCGATTTTTCCCGACTTGTACCTTGGAAGTACGTCCCATTGTCAGAATAGAATTCTCTTGGAGGACCACGGCGAGCCACGAAGCGACGCACTGCCATGATGCAGAATGTATCACCTCCATGTGCACTGCTTTTACCATCAGGCATGTGAACAGGGCAATCCAGACTTCGACCGACTCAGATTTAGACTGGCCCGAAGTAGTCAAGTCCGAAGAATGAACAAGACCGAACGATGGAAGCAAGGCACATCTTTGGTAGTGTGGCCATTGCTGGGGGCCTAGGCTTCCGTTGGCGTTGAAGAATGCTGTTCCGGCCATGATTTTGCTGGTTCGAAAAGGAAATTCGGTCATCGAAACTAGAAATTCTTTAACGAAAGCAATGGTTCATTCTTCCATTTCGTTGCTTGGTCAGCAATGTTAAGGTGAGAACCCGTCGCCACTCCGACACATGAATCTCCAGGCCATCAATATTTTCCGGAAGAGCTGACCGGAAATAACATTTCGGAATACGAAGCAGGTCCAGCGTTGGAAAAATTCTCGTCCAGGTACGCCAGCATTCGTACAGATCGTTGAGAATGGTAACGTCCCAAGCTGTATCTCTGGCCCGAATATCCTGAATCAGGATATTGCCATGAACGAGGTCATCATCACTTTAACGACCTCGCGTTTCGTAGGAAAATGACTATTATACAAAATTGGCTGAAGATCATCTCTCATGACGTCGTCTTCTGGCAGTCATTTTATCCCGAGCAGTGATTCGATATTTCCTCTTCTCTTCAGTAACATTTTTTTTTCTTTCGTCTTCCGCAACTACTCCGATCCCACGCAAAACATTCACTTCATTGGACAAGAAGTGTCGCAGCGTAATCCTCCCATCGAATGCACCATTTTCACCTCATTTACCACATACATCGTTTCTTGGACTGTTCGGAAGCTATCCAGATAATTGTCGATGTAGTGCTAGCTGATTATGGCTTCATCGGCATGGGGAAGCTTGTCGGAGAATTTTTGGGCATTCCGGTTATCACAGATTGTCCGACGCTAGAAAACAAGTCGATCCAAATGTGGAAACGTCCATGATGTAGACTTGCGGGTCTGGTCTGACGCGAAACACAAATCGGCATCATAATTGGTGGAACATCTGCCACTGGAAACAGTCGGACTTGACATAGAACCTTCGGAAGTGACGTTAGCAGGTCCGTCTCTTTAAGAACTTTGTAGTTGATCGAAGTTCACCTACTTTAGCTGATGCATCCCTGATTAATCTGATATTGTCCGGTTTTTTTCTGTCTGGTTACTACTCCTAGAGGTAAGTACCAGACCCGGTTCGTCGGTATAGAAGTCAGCTCCGTAAGAGAAGCCTTGTGCGCATAACATTTGCGCTCATAGTCCGCATAACATTTGCGCTCATAGTGGTTGCGTACTTGCTCCGCTGGTTCGCTTGAAATTTCCTTTCAAGAGATTCTAGCCGGCGGTCTGCCATCAGATAACAGTCAGGGAAGTCAGGATCGTCGACAACAACCCCTTCTCGAAACGAGATCCTTCTCTCGTATGATGTGTTGATTCTTATCCTCTTCGGACTAGAGTTTGTTAAACGGTTTGACATTCTGTCCGTTCGATCTTTTTCCACTTAAGGATTCATTCGACCTTTTGTTCCTTCAATCTTTTGCCCATTCGATCTTTTGTCCTTCGCATTTTTTTCAACAACTCTGCGTCTTGGTCGCTTGAAACATTTGGCCGTAGAAAGCATCTTACTAGGTGGTTAGGATCATGAAGTATACTGCCTATAAACGCATATCTGACCCATATGGATTTTCATTAATTTCAAAATGTGAAAACAACATCGTCAGTTTGTCCCATTAAGCAAAATAATCATATCATATCATGTTACAGTTCTGCTTTTTGAGTTGCCATATTTTTCGTTGATAAAACAAAAGATGCAAGCTTTATTGCAACTGATTTTAACTTTAAATAAGTTATCAATAAATTGATGATGATTTTTCGAATATTTTCACGGGAATTGCACTTTGTAAGTTCGACTGTAATTTTCTCAATGCCTACTTTTTCTATATGGGGCTGATAAGGGATTATAAGCAGAATATTCTTCATGATAATTCATCCTAGATGTATTTTAACCATCAACAATCAATTGACAGTCCTATTTTGATACAATAATGTTAGCACTTGAACGAGGAAACCCTTAACAATCGAATGATAACTGTATTTTTATACCAAGAAGTTAAGGTCTTAGACTTATATATTTTAGTTTATCCTATGGTTTAAGGTATACTCAATTATCTTATATTCAATTCACTCTCAACTAATAATATAATGGCTATATAATACAACAAGTTCCCATGCACACTACCAACCGCGTATTGAGAAAACCCTGAACTTATCTGTCTACCATCCAGAACCACTTGGTCACCTCAAAAACATTGCCGAAAACAGAAACTTCCTAGATGACCAAAATGTCATGGTACAGCCTATACAGGAAATTAACATGTATACTAGCGCCACGTTGTGGGTAAATTCTAAACTAATTTGTCGACCATCTCTCATGGTTCAGCTGGAAAACTTATCTGGAGACAGCAACTTCCTGGGTGGTCAGGATCTTTACACAGAAAAAATACTGAATTTCAACTATCGCGTAAAATCTCCCTTCGTTTAATGTTGAGCTATACTTGGCATAAACAGCGAAATCGTTTACAAGCTTGCATACAATATTGCTAATTTATGCAATATTGCGCTTAAATTTACACGAAATATCGCGTAAATTTATGCCAAATCTAGCGTTAATTTTATGTGCGCTATATCTCGCAGAAATTTACATGAATTTTTCAAACGGTGTAGTTATTGCTTATACAGGATCTTCACATGCACATTGTCCACCAACCAAATGGATTTAACCCCTTGAACAACTTTGCCGAAGACAGTAACATTCTATATGGCCTGGTTCACAAGATATGCCACATGCTACGTGTACTCTATTTAGGCGATTTCCATTTGCGTAGTCTATGTCATTATGTATCTTTTTCATCTTTTTACGCCAATGGTGCTCATTATAATAAGCAACTTTGCTGAAGACACCAGGTCACGGAAATGCTTAGTTTTGGAGTTATTAATATTGTGCATTTAGATGAAAATTATCAGTATGTCGGACACGTAACTGGTAGCATTGCAAAAGAGTTGTAGAAAGTACCAAAGTTGTAGAAAGTACCAACACTCTTAAAGTTATGATTTCCGTAAAACTCGGAATTCAGACGCAGATTCGGAAGTCGAAAGCCAGACTTCCTAACTTTAATTTAGTGCTGACGACACAATATTATTCCGCTAGATTACATTACTGTTTCACTGACAGTGCCATGGTGACCAACTGTATTCATCAAGTATTCATGTTTTAGATAGGGTTATGCCATATTTTGATAATCTCTTTTGGGGCTATCCACATTCCACACAGCAGAGCTTGTAAGGGTTGCGGGTAATTTTGCCGAATGCCGAACAACAAAACTCCAAAGAACTGCTCATGTTTGAAAGAAGGAAAAATCTCTTAATATTATTATAAACTTTTTTTTAATGAAATTTTAGAACAAGCTGCGTTTACTGCGCAAAAAATAATAAGATCATCAAAACTCCAACAAACTTCTCTAGTTAAAAAGGGTGGCTAAAAAATACCAATTACATAACTAAAAGCTTATCTTTAGCATAATAATGAATCCATCAACAATATAAAATTTCAGTTTTATACAGTATACAATTTAATAAAAAATCCCATATTTATAATGTCAGAAAACCAGAATTGTGGTAAGTGCAAAAAAAGTCTACAGGGCTGCCATTTAGGAATCTAGTATTGTTCAAAAATTGAAAATCTATTTCAAGTATTCGGCCAAATGACTGGACACCTTTTTAGGTCGTTTTTTGAAAGCTTTTAGACACCCTTCCCCGTGGACAATCATCCATATACAAATTAAACAAAAAACGAAAGGCCCGTGATCAATCACAAATACTTCTCCCCCTCTATACTATTAACCTACCGTAATAGACCGAGTCTTTCAATCCGGACATTTCTTTTTTCATCAAATATGCACTTGGCAACTTGATATGCACTTGGCAACTTGATAACTATGTTAGCTGAACATAGACGACACTACAGGATCATCATCAAATTATAGTATGAAGAAGTGTTTAAAAAAAATTATTCTCTGTTCCTTTTAAAAGATAAATTTTAATTCGTACATGAGGTAAGGTATCATTATGAAGCAGAGTTATGGAACAATAGCCTGTTTCTAGGACATACTTTCGATGTACAAAGTAAGTTCTGTTATTGAAACTAAACTTCTTGGGCGAAGGTCAAACACGTACTATAAGAGCTATCGAGAAAGTTGAAGCCAACCTTGAAATCATTGATGAAAAAAAAACCGCCTACTATGATCCGCTGTAATAGTATTTAATGATCTTTTCAAAACCGTCAGCAGTCAATAAAAAGCAGTTTTGCACGAAAAGATACAATTACTAGCGATAAGCATGGCAATGCAAGCTTTAAGCTGAAAAGCTTAGAACAATTGGAATACCATCATAAAAATATTGAGAAAATTATTGAAAAAATTGCAGCTCAAATTAAAGATGGTCTAGCAATCGACGCGTGAATGAACTTAGGGTCTAGGATAAGAGAGGTGCGGATTCAAAACAAACTGCCTTGAAGACAGATGCCTCGATGGTTTCTAGGAGCAGTGCCAATAAAAACAAGATAGGCACTATACGATTGGCATTGGATTTAATAGTTCTTGTGGCTCAAAATCAGTCAGTCTGCTTTTCCATTACCCTAGACGCTTACCTTAGCTGAATAAGCCTTTTTGGCTTAGTAACATAATTTTAGCTAATATGAAGCTAATCCCACAAAACATTTGCTATACTTTCAACAGTCCAAACGGTGTTCAGTTGCTAGCGCATGCTATTTCATAAAAATATTATGACCATAAGGTTAGTGTTGAGTTACATAAAATACCAATGCTATTAAATATCAACAATAACTCTGATCTGGAACATATTAAGCACTTTAAGATGCAAGCTGTTTTCAGATCAAAATAGTGATTAAAAAGTTGTTTTTAGATGAAAATTTTATGAAGATAGCTGAATTACCTTCGAACAATATTAAAACGTAAGATTGTTTGATTTATTTAATAAGATACTAGAAGATTATTGGATACATAAATTACTGAAATTACCGGTTATTAGACTGTTAAAAACTGCTATTTCGGTATTGCAGAATGGCACGATATTACCGGTAACACCGGTTAAACAACTCTAGTAATGAGATATTCGTTTTCGATATTGTTATCATACATACATTGATCTTCTCAGAAAAAGCCACATTTAATTGTGATGTTCCGCATCATTAGAAAAGTTGAAGCACCCTCTCATCATAGTTCTCACATGAATCCTCATTCAATTGTCATGTTCTGTACTATTTGAAGAGTTCTCGGACCTCTCCAAAGACGGGCCCTCTTATCAATCAAAATAGATCTCACGAGAAGGCTAGCTCAATTGTGATGTTTCGTATCATTCGAAAAGTTCTGGGATCTCTCCAAATCTCAATCAATCAAAACAGGTGACAAAAACAAGCGCTGATACTGAACCCTAGTTCGAACCTTTTCTTGTTTTCAATCTCAGTTTCTATGAGACTCACAACCGTCAACAAGAAGAGCTTAGGGTCATAGTTCGATGTGGAAGATCTTGCACCCAGTAACGCACCACGAAAAAATTATCTACCCACGTTACGGGAAACGTTATATTGATGAAGAGATTACGCCTCTTACCTTCAAATTTTTCGTACGCCGAGAAGTTCAACTTTTCCGGTACAAAAGATGGACGGGAGATTCTGCTCACCGGTGTGCTCTCGGTGGCCTTCCCAGACGACAATGAAACCACTTTTCGAAGAACATTTCCTTCGCCAATCGGTAGCTTAGGTGTTGCCCATTGTTCGTTGGAACTTGTTCGGTTGCCATCAGACACTTGGGAGATCGATACTGGAATGTGAAATCAAACATCACAACACGTTGTGGACTACTAATGCAATAAAGGTAATATTTTACTCACAAGGCGTTGCATAGAGCGAGCTTGGTGTTTTGATCTCCGACAGTTCCACCTTCTTAACACGAGCCACATTGAAGAGGCTTTTGTCCTTGCATTCATCTGTCGGCGTTGTCATTCCATCGGCTTGAATCTGAACCGTTCCACAAGGCGTAATGATGTTGTTACGAAAATTAAGAGCCATTTCTTCACCTTCCACACTCTGGGACTCGACTTCACTAGCTTTTACTTCACACTGGCCATCTAAACTGATGTTGTTCACATTTTCCACCTTACACTTTTCCAACCACTGATCGTTGCTACTTTTCACACTAATGTTCGAAACATTGGCGATCGTTAGCTTTTCCCTCCATCCGTTACATTTAACACTGTTGCTGGCATTCAAATCGATGGATTCCACTTTATGAACACTAAGTTGTTTCAATTTCTCTGCGGTCAAAGCTTCCAGCGTTCGGATCGGCGTCGCTTCGGCTTCTTCGTCTTGTGCTTCGATGAGATCCTCCTCCGAGTAGTATGCTTGATTGATTTCAGTTGCGAATGGCCCTACGGACGTGCACGGATCCGTGAAGATAGAATCCGAACTGGAAGAGGTCGTATGCTCAATATGATGGATAACTTGGCCGGATTGGTCTGGAATGAGAAAAAAAAATCAGTTTGTTTTTTTTTTTCATATGCAGAAGTGCAAGATACATTGTTATATTGTAGACCCTTGCGTGCAGACACTTGGCACGTTCGGTGAAAGCCCTGTGTTGTTGATACCACTGTGTATGTAAATATCTTCTTTTCCAACATTGGATTTTTTCAGCATGCTTTGGAGGCTTATGCTTTTAACGGGGAATGGCGTTATTTAAATTAGCAATTGTATTTGGTACCATTGTTTCCAATTCAATTAAGCATGCAGGCAAACGATCGTTGTCTACTTTGCCTACCTACACCTATATAACGTTCATAATACGGTAGGTACCTATCGTTTAAACGAGTTCATATTCGGTCTTCTAGGTTCGAAAACGAAGTTGCTGGTTTCGGTCAAATGAACTATTTTATTTGTTTACTTATTATTCTAAGGCAGCGGTTATTAAACTTATGCCTATTGCAACCCACTTTGAGAAATTGCATAAGTTCACGCTCCAGCAATATTGAATATAGATGTTGGAAGGCCAAAATGATATTCAAAACTCTAAAATAGCAAAAGCAATGTCAAATTAATTAGAAAGCATCTCAAAACACGACTCCAAACCAACTTGCACCGCCAAAATGAACTTAGAAATGCAAAAATGGCCCTAAAACGCTGAAATAGCTTTAAAACCCCCCTGAAAAACCACAAGATAATCTTGAAAAATCCAAATACCAAAAATGCATACATGGCTTTAAAACACTAAACTGATTTATAATAGTTTTGAAAGCGCAAAAATAAACATTAAAATCACTAAAACATAAAACTCTTATAATAACCTTGAAAACGATAACTCTCACTGAATCGCCAATATAGTTCCAAAAACGTCAAAAATGGTAAAGATTCAAAATTATCAAACTTTTAACACTAACGCCAAAACGGTCTTAAAATCGCAAAAATGACCTGAAAAAGTCAAGATGGCATACATATTTATGAAAGTGGAATTCCCATGAAAAAAAGCATATAGACGAATTTCATGCCAACCCGGCCAGTGGTTGGCAGTACCCTCTCAAATTCCAATGAAGCTTTGTGGCTGTTAAGATTTTGTCTACTTCGTCTTTTTTCCTTGAAAAAAATCTAGACTACCAGTTGAACAGAGAGACCTACACAAATTTTGTCTAAGATTGATTTGTAGAAAATTATTTGAATTTTCATAAGAAAATTTCAAAACATTAAAAATATCATTCGTACGCTAAAATTATAAATTCAAAAATATTATTCCTCAAAAACTTAATTTAATAAAATTTTAATTTTTTTTTTATAAAAAGGCCAATTATCTAAAAGTCGTTCGCACATCCCAAGACGGACACTAGAGTGGGTCAACTTTATATGGCGGATCACAATCCTCGGCATCTCACAGCTCTTTGGATCTTAAGTCGAATCGATTTGCATTCTTCAACGAAGTTGTTTTGTATAGTTTTCACAATTTAACAAGCAATTGAACAGTTTTGGACCATTTCCCATACAAATTATAAATCTCTACTGCAACTCCAGATCGTAGCCAATTTCGTTCAAATTTGACACAGGTGTTGGGGACCTCAATACGAATCAAAGGAGCTGTGGGGGAGTAGGGAGTTGTTAAGTTGACCAACCATAATGGACACTTTTACAGGAAACAAGTTCATATCTCACCCCCGGACAAGTCACGAATGACCCAAGAGTGTTAAAGTGACTATAATAAAAAAAAAGTTATGCTAACAACGCTGAATGGAATCTCACCACATGAATTTCATCCAGATCCCTTACAAATTGGAATAAAACATTGTTGGTGTGAAGACTTTAGCTAATTAGGCAAGTTAAGCTAAGCATATGACTTTTTTCAGTGCATGTATCAAAATGAATAAATGAATGAATAAATAAACCATCAAACCAAACGATAGGTATCATGGTTCCATAGAAAGCTATTGCATATTTTTGGAATGGGTTAACGGGTTCCGGAGATAGAGCCGAATCATTTTCTTATGAATACTTTTTAGTGTTGGAATGCATTTTTTTTTGATAATTTCTTATGCAATCTCACATTATTCTCTACACTTTGCACTTCAACAGTTCTGAGTTGAGAGCTTTCTAAGCCTGTACCTTTTTGTATTATTATTATTGTGTCATATTACTACAACCAGGGAAGACGAGAAATGGTCAAACCCGAGGAGGCCCCCCGAGCATAGTCCAACATCAAAATAATAACAATTCGATAACAAATTTTAATGTCAACATAATTTGATTTCAGTTTTTTTTTTCAATTTACGAGTGACAAATACGGAGTGACTCGAGATTTGGGCGTAGCTTCTCTTGCAAACAAATACGTTAATCGCCGATTTCTTACAAATAAAAGCTCTATCTTGAGAACTAATAACACAATCAGGTAGAGCAGGCCCGCCAAACGGTTTTAAACTGCGTAACAAATGCTAAAACCCAAATCAGCTGGTGGGCCAAGTCATATTATCTGATTTGGATTCCAAATTGGACCAAAAGTAATCAAATTGCGTACTTAAAACCCGAATTTATCCACCTATGGTGTGATCAGACCCTTCTTACTTATTCAAGTTTATTTATTTTATTGTCATTATCAGTGACCAAGCCCCCCACCCCCGTGTCATCCAGTGACGCTACGCCACTACCTGGGGGTACCCGGAATATATCCGGGTGTAGTCTATTTGGTGAGGCTACCAATCACCTTATCATCGTATTTTAATGTGATTTAATGGGTTTTAATTCAATTCATATTCAAGCAACTTCCCCGGGGTACCCGGAACATGTCCAAGTGTGTCCAATGTGGTCTGGAACACTTAACACGACTTGCATTGATCTTATTTGAATTCTGTAGTAATTTGATGTGTCGCATGATGGTTTTGATACGTTTTCCGTTAAATCCAGCGTGAAGGCCCACATTCACCGGATCTTATTCCGGCCATATCTCCGGAACCGGTTCACCGATTCCAAAACCGTTCAATAGCGTTCAATGGGACCCCAAGACCTATCATTTGGCGCCGAGTTTGTCCAAATCGGTTGTGCGGTTGCTGAGAAACGTAAGCGCATTCATTTCGTTACATACACACACACATACACACATACACACGTACACACACACACACACAGACATGTTCCGATCTCGTCGAGCTGAGTCGAATGGTATATGACACTCGGCCCTCCGGGCCTCGGATCGATAGTCGGTTTTTCAAGTGATATCTATACCCTTCTTTGTAAGAAGGGTAAAAAATACAATTTTTGGTGTGAATTCAATGAAATAATAAAAATGTGTATATATGCTGAAATTACACGAACTAACCGAACCCAAACATTTGATAGTATGTGTGCATATGAATTCATCACTGACCGACTAATCGTGGTTTTCAGAAGTTATTGTCTGGTTTAACAAGCACTTTAAATGGCTAAACTAAATAATGAAAACAGAGCAACGATATTCAGCAATGTTTCAAAATCCATATCTTTATTTATTCTTGTTATTTTTTTAAGGTATGTGGCTTAGTGATTTAATGAGAATCTTGAAATTATTGAAAACTCTCCAACACTCGTTGAATATTAATCTAAGAAACTGTTTCCAAAATCCGCAAATATGATTCCAAGTTTTCATCTGCGTAAGATTAACGAGAGTATAGTACAACCCACGGGCCGTATGCATAACTTTTTCTAAGTTCGTTGCGGGCCGCACGTTGGGCAGGCCTGAGATTGAGGAATAATTGCTCTATCATTTGGTATGTTTGTTTACCAGATTGAGCTTTTATTCGTGAGAAATCGGCGATTGACGTGTTTGTTGACACATCTAGCTCGGTAAAATCTCCAACAGCCGATAACCTAGGCATTTACTTTTGCTGATATCTCTGAAAAAATATCTGTTTATTAGCTGATATCTCAGCAAAATGTTATTTGTTAGCTGAGTCTCGGCAATTGTTTGACTGAATCTCAGCCAAAAAAATTGCAGAATTACTCGGCTGTTGGAATCTCGGCGAAAATTTTTAAGTGTCCACAAAAGCAATTAGGACCAAATCTCAAATCACACCGGATATATGATATCAAATTTTGTTTTCATTTTACTGTACGTTTGATCTACATCTAAAGTTGCTGTTGATTTTGTTTTGTTTTCAGAAGTATCCTTTTACAACAAATCAACAACTGAAGTTTAGTTTTCATTGCAGAACATCAAATTGTTATCAGCAGGAAAATTGTACATCAAAAAGAGTTTTCAGTTTGCTCACACTGACAGCTGAACTAGTTTTCAATTTGATATCACAGGAAGGGTTTGAGCTCTCAATTTTGATATTTTAACCCTTGAAACGACAAAAATGACAGCAACCTGATGATTAGCGTTTAGGTAAAATTGTAAAACGGTGTAAACGGTGTAATTATCAACGACATCACGACATCAAATTTAGTTTTAAATTTGATCTCATACTTTGTTCGGGACCGCCTTGTATTGCTATTACGTTTACGCAGTAGATACATATAACATGACACACGATTGACATTTATCGATCCGAGTTGTGTTTGAAAAGACTACTTAGATAAAATTTAGTTTTAGTTTTTAGTTTTAAGATGTAAATTGTTATACTGACAAAATACTGAATTGCCAAAGCAGGAACAATGTAAAAACACTTAGACTCAAATTTTGGGTTTATGAATCAGCCTAGTTAGTGAGTGAAAATGATAATACCGCTGATTGTGACTCTCTGAAAGCGCCCGCTACTTGTAACTTAATAGTACAAAATATTATCATAACATCTAATGATAACATAATACTGAAAAGCATTTGTTATAGCGACACATGAGCTAGAGCTTCTTTTTTGAAACCTAGTATTAGTCACCACAGACAAACAGACATAACACTCGCAACTTGTTCATCGAACAAGTATTTAACGGTCAATTTAAAAGTATCGTAGTGGATAGTACCAGCACCTGTGGCGCGTATAGTAAATTCCCTTGCGCTTGACAGATGGCGGTAATGTTTTAGCGACGATGTTTTACAGTGAGAAATATTCAATGTGTTATGTCTGTTTGTCTGTGTAGTCACTATAAATGGAGTTCCAATTTCCTGGTCAACCCAAGTGAAATATCTTGGATTAGAACTAGACCAAAAATTAACTTTTAAAGATCACATTGAGGGCATTCAAGCCAAATGTAACAAATATATAAAATATTCCAACAAAATAATTAATAATTTCAGGCAAAAATCGTTGCAATCCTCAATTGCATCGATTAATTCCCTTTATACTGAGATAAGATTTAGTTTTAGTTTTTAGTTTTAAGATGTAATTGTTATACTGACATGTAGGTTAAAAAACCTGTTTAAAATACTGAATTTCTAAGGCAGGAATAATGTAAAAACACTTAGATATATATCATAACAAATTAAGGCTGGTAAGTTACTGTAGTAGCTGGAGCACCTAGGTTAAAAATGAAATGTTATTTATTTTCGATTTGGAACAAAGAACATTCTGAGTAATGTAGCCCAATCACTATCATCATACTTTAAATAAAATTCACCAAAGGGAATAGCTTTCCTGAAGCCATCACTCATCTTATGCTTCTCGATCTCTGCTCTTGCAACGAAAGAATTACTTCAATGTTCAAAGCACACCAGTATATTTACCAGCGTAGAAGTCAAATTATCCAATTCCACTAAACTGTAAGCCATAACACTTTTATGAACTTCAATATCACGTTTCCACAGACCATCGTAAATGTAGTTTACTTCACTGTGTACGATTCGTGCAGTACCACTTTTGTGCTCCCATTTCGTGCACCGTTAGATTTCTTCCATTCAAAATTTAGATGAATGTGTAACTGGACCGACCAAAGATTGAAAGTTCGCTTCCTACTTAACTAATGCAAACAAACCTTCCAACTGATAGGAATCCACTCGAAACGGACGCCTTATCAATCCGTACACTTCGATCTGTCACTGATATTTTCAAAAATGAAACAAATCAAGCCACACACTTCACATGAATGAGAGGTAAACCGCGAACCCGACGCATAAAAAAAATAATGTTATTCATCGCATCGAAGCGTAAAGAGAGTGGCGGTAGGCAGGCAGCGATCAAGGTTAAAAACCGTAGAACAGCAATCACAGCTCTGCTACATATCCACAACAACATACTTTGCTTCCTCTTTAATGCTCTTTCACTGAGGTCGTTGCGCACCGTACATTCTGAAACTGTAGGTTTATTCGCTGAGCTATGTGCCCTTAGGTGTAGAAGGTAGGACTGTGGAAAAGGTATTTCTGTTCGTTGGAGTGAAAGGTTCCATGTAGGAACTATTCGGTTGCAAAATGGAGGATCACTTAACGAATTCCGTCGGTATATAGGTAGATCACCCATTTGAGGGCGACCTGTTGGATCATTTCAGAACACTGTCTATCGCAATTTGAACTATTTAACGTACCTTTGTTTAGATCTGCAGAATTTCCGTTCGAGGCTACGTTTTCACTGACAGAATTGGCCCTTTTCCAGGAGTCGGTGGTCAAAACGATCGACCCGGACGATGGACCGTAAGTGCAGCGATCCAGCTGTTTTGTTGTTCCCTCACCCAGAACCAGTTTACTACTGAAGCTGTTTGGGTTAGGTATTGTTGCTATAGCAGCTGAGGAAGCCGGCAATTTGTTGTTCCCCGTTGGTTGCGATATTGACTGTGTTTGTGGTGCTTTGGTGCTTCTAGATGGTGGTTGTGCTAGTGCTGTTGGATGGTTGGTGGTGTTGATCGTTTGGAAGGAGGTCACCGACTCGCTAGCACTGTCCGTTTTGGGGTGCTTCTGTTGTGCTTTGTTATTGTTGTCGTTGGCGATCGACGATGATGTCGTCATCGTTGCTGCCGGACCGTTGCTTCTAGTCGCCGGTAGTGAAGCTATGCTTTGCCGATCATGAGCCGCAGTTATTGCGTCATGCTTACTATCGGTATCTAGCGGTTTCTTCGTGATAGGGCTATTATCGTCGTTGCCGTTGCGCTGCGACTCATGTGCTCCTGTTAGGTTAAAAAACAAAGTGGAAGAAAGAGTGAAGATGATCGTAGAGGGAAAAGGGATTGCAGAGAACCAGATGATGTACAACGAATGTGATGGATGCATAGGTGTTGTGCTATGTTGAAACTAAGGGTTAGTAATACGTCGCAAAGCTATATAGATTACGTTTTCTAGGTGATAATTTGAATAAAACCCTACATGGTATATTAGACGTTATCAATGTCATTGAGATTGCGGTACAGTTGACTCGAGGCTGTTAAGTCAACAGCATAAGTATGTATCGTGGGTGGAAGACTTTGACCGAGACCTCATCGTTAGCGTGTATTTAAATTGTGATCATGGGGATAACACATAAAAGTTTTGCAAACGGAGTACATGCAACTACTTACTGAAGTTGCACACTAGAATAAATGCATTTGGATAATCAATCTTAAAACGAATAAATGCATAAAATCATAGCATGCTTGACATTACAGACACGGTTATCTGAAACCGAAAAGCAAGCATTACTTAGGGGTCATGCACTAGTTATACACTCGGAATAATTTATGTAAATTTAGGTGCTCTGAGACTGACATATACGAGCGTCAATTTTGAGATAAAATTGAGTCATAACAGATGCAAGAATCAGCTCAATCAAACGTAATTTTCGTCAAGTAATGAACTTTTCAGATTCGGAGCACTTAATGTTACATGACATTTTTGTTTACATGATATGACATAATGGTTTCCGTCACGTTTAAAATTAGTTATTTCTAAGTGTAAGTATAAATTATTTTTAATTTTTCAAAACTCCCTCCCCCCATTTTAAAATTTTAATTGAATTTTGATAAACAACCACTCCACCCCCTCAAAATATTAATAAAATTTTCAATGATATCAAGTTTAAGGTTTTCAATCTAGAAACCGTTAAACTTTAAAACATTATAATTCACATTCAATGTGTTTTTATGTTACTTCATACGCGAAGTTAGCGATTTTCAGAGTTGGTTGGAAATGCTAACATGAAGCTTTAGTGTGATATTTATTAGCTAGAGAATGATCTTTAGAAGAGGGTAGGTGGATAGTTCCGTTAGAGTACGGTAGTATGAAAATTGAATATAAGTTGAAAATGAGCGAAGGGCCATTAATGCGACAGTTTTTAAAGTTAGACGCACATCTTTTGCCTAACCCGTACGATGTACGCGGAGACTTGAAGTATGTCTCCAAGTTTACAGGCAAATTTGCCAATTGATGAATTTATGCAAACACAGCAAAAAAATAATTTTGATATCACATCAAAGTGGATGCACTACAATCATGTCGAAAATTTCATGTAATTTTTATGACCACATAAATAAACAAATGCAGTAAAAGCAGCGTAATGTCAGTTCATGCATTGTATTAATGATAATTTTGTCCTTTTTAGCAAGTAATATTACACCATAACTTCGACATGATTGTAGTGCATCCACTTTGACGTGATATCAAAATTATTTTTTTGCTGTGAAGGTAAAACTGGCCATGCGATACCTAGTTTTCAGATTTGCAATTACAAAACTGATGATGTACTAAAAAATATTCCATACGATTTGACAGGTAGCAAAACGTTATTATCATATTTCACATCATTTCCATCTGCTGGTCGACCGTCACGTTAATTCATCAATTTGAACTGTCAAAACCAAACTAGATCATACTGTTATTTTAAGAAGAAAACAGAAAAGAGGTATTGAAATCTGAGTGAAAATAAAACTGGTTTTTTTCGTTAATAACTTCATGATTGTGAGACATTTTTTTTTATTTCGTACTTATTCTAATAAATAAAAATATCAACTGGGAAAATCTTACACCATCATATAATCACAGACAAACAGACATAACACATTGAATATTTCTCACTGTAAAACATCGTCGCTAAAACATTACCGCCATCTGTTGAATACACTGTGGTGGGTAGTACGCTGAACAGATGGCGGTAGTGTGTAAACGTCAAACGCAAGGGAATTGACTATACGTGCCACAGGTGGCGGTGCTACCAACTACGATACTTTTAAATGGACCATTAAATGCTTGTTCCATGAACAACTTGCGAGTGTTATGTCTGTTTGTCAGTGGTATAATCGTCTTAAATTTCAAATTCTGAATATTTTTCAAACGATATGAAAAGAATGAATTGATCAGCTTAGATGGCATATTATGGCATTCAGAAAACAATTTTGTTTCACTTCCATATTAACCGATTTAAAATGTGCACAACATAGCCTTGCACTACCGTAAAGTGCCGTTTCCGGATCCATTTCGAAAAATGTCCCAGGGTGCCTTCCATTCATTTTGACTAAAAAAATGGAATTATGGAATAATAAGATATTATGAAAATATTTTGATTATGTAAACAACAAGAAAAGATTGTTAAGTTTGTGTTTGACACATAATACCTGCCAATTTTGCTACATGAGAGACGCAATAAGCGATTTTGTAATTTATCTCACCCACTCTTCGCTCTTCACTCTTCGCGAAGAGGCGATCAGAAAAACGCTCATTGTGACTCTGCCAAAGCTAAATTTGCAGGTTTGATGGGTGAAACACAAACTTTACAATCTTTTCTTATTACTTACATATACAAAATATGATCATAATATCTTATTCTTCCATAATTTCATAAAACATTGTTTTAGTCAAAATGAATGGAATGCACCCTGATGTCAACCAAGCGTGGCGCAGGAAGAGATCTTTCGGGAACCACAATAAACTTCGACTTACTTCGCGTAACATCGTATTTCAACTGCTTACGAGAAACGAACAATCAGGTACTGTCGTTATAAGTGAGTCATGCACAGCTCATGCACTAATTTTCTTTGTTTACCAACTTGACACAGAGGGTCGGCATTCAAAGGATGACTACGATGTGTATTTCTAAAGAAAGCTGGCTACGGTGTCTAAAAACAATCTCAGATTAACATATAAAAATGTTAGTCGTGAATCTTAGAATCTTATTTCTAGTAGGTACACACTCAATCTAGCGCGGTAAAATCTTCAACAGCCGATTTCCTCAGCATTTACTTTTGCTGATATCTCTGCAAAATATCTGTTTGTTAGCTGAGATGCCAGCAAAAATCAATCTTTTTAGCTGAATTTTGGCAATTTTTTTTTACTGAATCTCAGCAGCAAAACTAAATTGCAGAGCTACTCGGAATCTTGGCAAAAAAAAAATTAAGTGTGTATGAGATCTCAATAATTTTGCAAGGAATCAGCTATTTTTACAAGCCTCAGAAGTTGCAAAACATCCTTATTTCAGGATGTTGACCATGATGCCTCAAATATTTTTCCTATTCGCACATTTTCTGCATATCAAAAATCCTAAAAACTTTATAAGGTTTCTTTTGATGATTGCAGGGAAACTTTTGCGAACTTTTGCCACCTACATTTCGAAGTAAGAGCTGTTGTAAGGATGATGGTTGCAAAATTCTTCAATGGAAACAGGCGATTTTTGGGGAAAATCGTTCCATAAAGGAAAACTGTTGCTTGAATCGGAATACGTTTTTGGTAACTAACTGTTCTACTTCCGATGTGGTTCTGTAATGATTTCACCGTAAATTATTTATAACAATTTTGCACTCACATGGAGAGGCTACCTCCTGCGCAGCTGCATTTCTCGGAACATGGTGAAAATTTGTGATTTCCACTGATATGGAAAATGAGTTGATATACTAAAGAAAACTTTTCTCATTCTGGTGATATTGGAGAAATTTGTTGTGTAGGACGGTATTATTCAATAAGAGGTCATAATAATCCTCTTTAGGCAAACATCGGCATCGAACGCTCTCGATTAATAACTGTGGAAATGCTAGTATGTGATAAACAATAATTTTGAAATGCGAAGAAGGCAAACATTTGGATAGTCACTAATTTCGATGAAAAAGACAACTGAACTTCATTTAAGCACTCTACTCTAGAATGATTATATATGGTTTTCACAGTGATGCCGTAGCAGCAAATTATTTTGAGCAATTTAAGTAATTGAAAAACATTTGTTTACATCTTTGTGCAATGTAGCATTGACGACACCGTAATGAAATGAAATGAAAATCCAACCGGAAAAGTCAAAGATGCACATCAGTCTGATCGGAATGTCGTTTTATTCGAAGGATGTTTTGCAGGATTGATAAAAGTCATGTTTTCATGAATTCCCTATGCAGCCTGTCAGCATTATCATTATCGCGCGTAGAGCTTTTACAGCAATCTTCCAATAGAATCTTAATGGTTTTCTTTGTCCAATATTTTGATTTTACTGCTCAATTCATTCTATTACTCAACTTGTTACCTTAATAACTTTTTAGATAAAATTTTGACTTTCCAAAACGCGCTCAAATCAGTCATTCGGTCTAATGAATGTGACAAGTTAACAAATCAGCGGCGCCGTTGGTGTAGTGGTAAGCGTGACTACCTCTCACCCCAGCAGGCCTGGGTTCAATCCCAGTCGGCGTCGCAGGGAAGTTCTGAGGCATAACATTTCTGATTACGGAAGGGAAGTAAAGCCGTTGGTCCCCGGTTCATGAGTTGATGGTGTCGGTAGCATTGGTGCTCTGCACGGAAAACAAGATCGACGGAAAACAAATCAAGGAAAAAAAAAGTTAGCAAATTAGTGAAATGGATCGTAGAGTTCCACTTTTTTAATGCAAGAGTTAACGTTAAACCGTTTTGCACGTAATGCGGATATTCCAGGTTTTATAAACAGTATCATGCCAGAGCGATATTTAGGTCACGATGGAGTCTGATGAATGAATCTCTTTTTTAACTCTTTATTTGTTTCAAATTCAAAATAAATTACATTTAATTTTCTTCTAGGTGATTCAGCTACTACAGTAACTTACCAGCCGTAATTGTTATAAATATCTAAGTGTTTTTACATTGTTCCTGTCTTGGCATTACAGTATTTTACACAGATTACCTGTATATCAGTATGAAAATTGACATTTTAAAATTAAAAACTAACACTAAATCTTATCAAAGTATAAAGGGAATTAATCGTTACAATTGAGGATTGCAACGATTTTTGCCTGAAATTATTAATTATTTTGTTGGATATTTGTTCTAAAGTCACAACATTCGAAATTCTATGTACCTCGATAGTATTGTATTATATTATTATTATTTAGCTTTATTAAGGAGGCTTTCAGCCTTGGGCTGGTTCGCCTCCACTCGATAGTATTGTACCAGGGAGGCAATTTCAAAATTACCTTTGTTGTGAATCCTTTGAAGTTTTTTTTTTGGGTAGTGCAACAACTAGACCATATTGGCACAGCAAAAAGCATGACCGGTCTTAAAACTTGTTCAAATATTAGAAGTTTATTCTTCAGGCAAAGTTTGTGGTTCCTGTGGTTCTTCCATTTTTGTAAATAAGAAGAAAAAATATCTAAACTTTTCTGCAGCCTGTTGCAAATAACACGAAGACTTCTTCCTTTAGCAGAAACGCCTGTGTTGTCGGCGAACAAAGATGTGTGGCAACCCTGAGGCAAATCAGGGAGGTCCGGATTGCAAATGTTATAAAATATAGGCCCAAAAATGCTACCCTGAGGAACTCCTTTTTGTTTTGTTCTACCTACCAATGCTACCGACGCCAGGGAGACAGCTCCTACCTATCGATCCATCAACTCATGAACCGGGGACCAACGGATTTACTTCCCTTCCGAAGGAAGGCGTGATCAAAGATTGTATGACCCTGAGGAACTCCTGCTCTAACAGGTAGTCGTTCAGATTTGGAATGTCGATAATTTACCTGCAGAGTTTTGTCAGTTAAATAATTTTGAATGAATTTGATAACGTAGAGTGGCAAACCTTCATGCCAAACACGGTTGAATGCTTTTTCTATGTCTAGAAGAGCAACTCTAGTTGAGCAGCTTTCAGATTTGTTTGAACGAATTAAATGGGTACCTTTTAAGAGTTGAGTAGTTGAATGCCCACGGCGAAATTCAAACTGTTCATCTGAAAAAATTGAGTTCATATTGATGTGAAGCATCATTTTATTATAAATTATCTTTTCTAAAAGTTTACTTACTGAAGAAAGCAAACTTATTGGACTGTAGCTAGAAGGTACAGCTAGATTTTTATCTGGCTTCAAGATTGGAACAACTTTTGCATTTTTCCATTTATCAGGAAAGTACTCCAAATGGAAACAACTGTTAAATAATTTTTACCAAGAAAGGCAAGGTACTAGTTTTTTGATGAGGATATAAAAAATCCATTATCATCTGGAGCTTTCATATTATAAAACTTTTTAGTTACATATCTTACTTCGTCCAAATCAGTCCTCCAGAAATCAGCAAAAATATGTTCTCGGGAGAAAATATTCAGATAATTCCGCGCAACCTCATTCTCAATAAGACTAGTAAGACCAAAACTAAAATTATGGGAACTCTTGAATTGCTTAGCAAGTTTCTGAGCTTTTTCCGAATTTGTGATTTCCACCTTCTTTAAGCGCTAAAAAAGGCTTTTGAGTTTTTTTTTCAGAATTTTTTGAGCTTCCAAAAAGGTTTGGAACTTGGGTTTAATTTTGAAACCTTATTTTCAAAATTTTTGTTCTGCAGGGCAGAGAATCGCTTTTTGATTTGTTTTTGAAAACCTCGCCAGATAAATTGTTATGGCAGGATCGGGTGTTCTTTGAGATTGCCTCGTATGGAAATTTACCAGACGTATAAAGAGATGAAGAGCATTGTCTTTTATAATTGAATCGAATTTAACCTCGCATTTGGTACTGAGGCAGATCTTGCTTCAACTATAGAGTAGTCAGAGATTCAAGAGCATAATTAACATCATCTTGCCCAATCTGGGTAAATTTTATCTATAAATGGCTTATCTGATCTTAGCGTGCAGTAAACTCGAATCTTAAATAAATTCGAAATATCTAAGTTTCGACATGTACACAATTTTTAACGCTGCACAGTAGGCCTGGCCGTTTTAATGATTGTGTCACATATCTAGTGAGCCACAAACATTAATATGGTAGGCGAACGTATATCATCAAAATTATCAATCAACTATCATATAAGAATATGTGATTTCGTTCAAGTCCTAAATTTTGTGTAAATTAAAGCATTTCTGATCTGAAATGTTATTAATAAGCACAACATGCGAAGCTCGTATTATGAGAATAAAACTAAACTAAATAAATACGTGATGGTCTTCGACGACAGTGTCGTATGACAGTGACTGTCATACGACATTTTGGTTTGGCACTGTACATTGATAGCTTATTTTGTCAGTGTCGGAAGCAAAGGCAGCCGATTATCACAGAAAATTTGTCGACTAAGGTGACCACTTACAGCACTGCCTCTACATTCAATTCTGCTTTTACTTAATTTTTTCGATTATGCCCTCATTTGGGGTGAGATCAAAAATTGGAATACCACAATCTATTTTTTCCTATTAATTTTTAAAAAGGCACCTTAAGTTTGATTGCAATTTTAGATCACACATTCACAAATATGGACGAAAAAGAATCACGTAAAAACAGAATTGAGTGTATACAATAAAAATGCAATCTTTTCCGAATCAACGGAGCACAAATCTTTAAAAAAATAATTGAAAACCCAACGAATCTTTCATCGAACAGGCTACCGTGCACCGCTACGCTCATTTTGTAATGGCAAATGAAGTTAACAAAGCATGGCTCTGTTTAATTTTTCCTCGGCTGCCGATGCACTAAATAACCAAGTCGGCTTCCATTTGGAACCGAACCTAATATTACATATGTACCAACCTACGTTTATATATTTGTTTGTTTCGCAGCAACAAAGTCAGGAGAAAGTAACCTACGGAAATTACCCAAATGTTTAATTGAATTTGCATACAGTTTCTTTTTTCGAAGCCGCCTTCCGTCGCACAGTGGTGATTTCCGAAGCAAAATGGATTATAATTGGCTGATACTGAAATCCTAATATGAAATATTCTTAAGGTAAAAGGATCGAGAAATCTGTTTCGCACAATTTCATTCACTATGGTGGCACTTGTTTTGTGCCTTTGCTACCCTGAACATCCATGAAAGATCTGAAAATTTTCGAATTAAGCGATATATTTAGACATGAGAAGTGCAGTGCAAAATGAGCTCAAAACTTGCATCTGCTTTATTTTCGGTCTTTAAACTAGTGCAAACAACTTTTTGAATATTATATACATCATAAACGTTATTTTTAAAAATGGAGATAATTATTTATTTTTATACATAATTGACATATGTGGATTATTTGACCCCATATTCTCCTATAAAATTCCCAATAGCTTCCCAATGGTCATCTATTGACTGTTGAAAACATAATTGGTAACTTTTACCAAAATTCACTGACGCGTTTATATAAAAATCATTAATATTCGGGACTGAAACACGTACTTAAGCGTGCGCAAGCGGAATTGATTTCATGGAAGTTTTCCATGAAGAAAACATATATTTCAAATATATAATATTTGGGTTTTCAGTGGCAGCCAATTTTAATGCCTTATTGTTCCTAAAACTCCCACTGTGCGTCGCTTCGTTCGCACTGGGTTGATTATCTGTGGTACCGATTATTTATTTAGTTAAGTCTAAGAAAATATTCCATGCTTCGTGCCCTTGCTACGCTTCGCGTAAGAGCATAAAGGCACACTTTAATTAATGAAATAATGAAAATAACGGATTCCTAAATCATAAAACAGAAAGGCGTGCTTTGGTTGTTTCGTTTGTGCGGTGTTTTCTGTAAAACTCACCTCCGTCACATTTGGCGGACTTTTCATCATTTCCGTGGCCTAAGATGAATTCGTACTCTCGCCTGCTGATCGCTCCTTCCGTAAGTAGCGAATCAGCTGATTTCGACAGTTGCTGACCTTGGCCAGCGGTGGATGCTGCTACTATTGGTGTCGTTGTTGCTGTTGCGCCGTGCTCAATCAATATGTGAGAAAACCCATCTTCATTTTCGGCATCCACATCGGATTTGCTGCTACTCTCGATGGCCATCGTTGAGGTGCCATCGTGATCCACTAGGAGTTGCTTTTTCTTACCAAATTTCATAAAACTGCGACCTTTCACAAGATTCTGCTTAGGCAATCTCGGAAGGTTGCCTTTGCTTTCACCTGCCGCTTGGGTGTTTCCCATGTTGATTTTTTTTGTCGGTATGTATTCACTGTTTAGGGCTGCACAATATTCTACGGCGATGCCAAATGTGCACCATTCGTTTGCGTGAAAACTTCCATGTCTTGTACTGTTTTTAGATGCTATTTTTAACACTTTTGTTTTCGATTAGAAGCAGACCCCTGATGATGCTGCTGCTTCGTTTGCTGTGTCGCTACAAGCAAGTGGGGTTCACGGGTTCACTACATTTGTTTCACACATCACTGGAGCGTACGATTTGCGGTGACTTTTTTCTATTCTGCATTATTATTATCAGGAAAATCTTCGTCACTCCGTGTGACTCACTTTTTCTGACTTTCAATGATGCATGTAAAATCATTCACTTGATATGGCCTATGCCAGTACCACACACATTATAAACACATTTTAATCAATAGCTTTCACTTGAAAAATAGCCAGCTGGAGACGCAACATAAACACTGGGCCTTGACGAGTGTTTTTCCACATTTTCCTTAAACTCTCTTACATCAACTGTCCATGAGAGCGCGCATGCGCTTTGTACCATGCTCGTGCTGAACCTAGCAAGCGCGCAATTTTCCACCGGCACTCGGCGTATGCTTCTGATCACGTTGGCGGTTGCTTTGCCTTTGAATCGCAGACCGACGTCGTGTTTGAGCGTCTTTACCGGCTGCGGCTCGGAGTTTTTTCTTTTGACATGTTCTCTCCCTCTCCCAAGAAGGCGCGGAGAATGTGTTCGTTAATGTTTTGAACGGGTGTTTGTATGTGTTGGAATGCCAACTGCATGCTGCATGAATGGGACTAGAACGGTGAGTCATGGTTAAAAATGCTATTACCTGCGTGATGTGATCCTGATGATCATCCTGCTGATGCCTGTTCTTGCTATTTCTATGGGGTCATGTAATAAAGGGTGTATTCGATAAAAATGGCACACACATATTTACTCACCAAAATTAAACCGATAAACGGATTTTCTTGAAATTTTCAGAGAATGAAAAACTACTAATGAGTTATGATTAACAACATTTGTTTTATTCAATTTCGTCTCCAATCCTGAATGCCCGCACCTTCCTTTTCACTCCACCATTTTCTTCAACTTCAGCTCTGTTTTAATAGTTTTGGAATGTTTGCGAAGTTCCGTCTTCATAATTGTCCAGAATTTTTCAATTTGACGAAGCTCTGGTGAATTTGGTGGGTTCATATCTTTGTGTGTATTGTGTGTGTATTTACAATCTAACTCCCACTGACTGGCATTTACATTATGGATAGAATCCTCCTCCATCTTTTATATAAATAATTGCAAGAAGCTTAATTCCGGGAGTTAGAAGGAGACAGCTCTACCGCAACTCCCATTTCGCAAAAGCCCATGTTAAGAGCGCAAGCATTCCGAAGCTATTTTCGTGTACGATAAGCCCTGCTCCAATACATTTCAATGTGGGAATCACTAATAATGTACTGGAACTTTCAATCAAGCGGTATTGCTTGATTGACGCGTATTTAATGAGTTGGATATGTTTGTAGTATCACTAGTACTAGTATTAGTACTCGGAAATATAATAATACAACTTGGTACGAGAGCTGTCAAATGTGATGATATAAAGAAATACAAAAAAAAATGCTCTTACCGCGATGTGATGTAAATTTTTGTGTGCAATTCCTAAAGTTGTACAGTACCAAAACAGTCAAATGATTACAACATTGTTTACGATCCTATTGCTTGTTCATTTCTGGATTTTTTGTGGAAACAAGTAGTCAAATTTTATTTTTCGAAGGCGTGTGGAGGCGTCTTCCTAATTAGTTTACCATTGGGGTAAAATGGACAATGCCAATAATTCATAAGATACAAATTGTGATGCTCGGATCTACCCTATATTGTGGATTAATTGAACATACACAGAAAAAAAATTTGAATTTTAATAGTGATGTAAACATTCATTAACGTAAACTTGTATTTCATTTCACGCAACCAAGCAACTTGTAAACAATGTTGTTTACAACAATGGGCTATTGTATACAATATTTGCTACATTGCATGAAATGTCTCAGAACTTTACATGATATATAATGTAAACTTATATGATATGTAACGCTCCATTTATGTGCATCATACTGAACAGAAATTTACACTACTTTTTCGAACTGTGTATAGAGCATTTCTAGCTCAAATCGTTAAAAAAAATGTCAATTTTGTCTCGACCCCTTCTGATTTGAATGAAACATTGCTCACGTGTTCGCTGCTACTAATGGTTGCATTTTTCATTTAAATATCATTTTTTCCTCCAGAGTAACTTTTGAAAAGGGCGTATAAAAAAATGGATTATTTTTTATTCAAAAAATCATAACTTGAAAACTATTGATCTGATCAAAACGGCATATGAGAAGAAGTTTTAGGTAGTTAAATTATTTTTGCGGAAAAAATACACTGAAAGAAAAAACTTCGTAAATTAGTATTTAAAAACGTAAAACGATGATTATCTCAAAACACCCCCCCTTCGATCTTTATAAATTTTTTTTTCAAGAAAATTGATGGAATACCCTTGAATTTCGTGAAAAGTGTATGCTGGTAACTTCCTTAAAAAGAAATCTATAATTTTTTAAATTTTTGTTGATTTTTACAAGTTGATGAAAATGCATATTTTTTTGAAAAATAACAATTTATTTGGATTCTACGCATAATTTTCGATAACTTTGCATATAGAAACTTTTTTCCTAAGTCCAGCCGTTCTCAAGTTAATGCAAATTAAAAAAAATATAATTATAACAATTTTCAACATTATTGGCCATTTTCAAATGTTTGTCGAGATGTCCAGCAACGAGATTTTATTTCATGATTGTATATTAAAAAACAAACAATTCATTCTCAGATATGGTAGCTGTCAGACTTACCCGTTTCTATCTAGAGGCAGCGGAAGAGAAGCACGTTGATATGGTCAAATGAAAGATTTGTTGAGATAAAAAACAGTATATATTTATTATTTTATTTTACAACTCATATTATTTGAATACATTGAATAATTTGGGTGTATCGTTTGAATTAGAGAATATTTTTACTGAAATTTGGTTGTTTGAAACTGGAATATAGCAATGATATTTTCGAGTTCCAGGAATTGGTTTCACTTTCTTAAAAATTGGATCAAATTCCGTGTCAGCCTTTTTGTATTCTTCCGTAGAAACATAACAAAATGACATTTTTGTTTGAAGATCTTCTTTACGACTATTTGCCCAGTCGTACAGTTGTTAAGGGTTCGTTATAGGGTGCTCGTGTTGCTTAGCTAAACTTGCTCTGGTTGCCATTCTCTTAAGGGTACCGCCAATCGCATAACAATGACCTTTGCCGTGTGAAGTTGCAAAAAAATGTCATTCAATTTCTACATTATGCTTATCTTTAAATCCACAAATGCTAGCAAAAATTTTTATGTTTTTGTATTGTGATGCTGCTCCATCTGACATAAAAATACACTTTTGGACTGTTATTTGCAACTTTAAAAATTTTAATAATTTTGAGATAAACAACTGAACTGCTACTGTGTCATGCTTTGAAATTGATTTAGGTGGAGGTTTACAACACTTGAAATTGTTATCCATCGTAAAAAACTACTTGCTTTTTAACTTGAAACGCTAAGAGAGATGAACTGAATGGAACAGGTGAAGATCGTCCCAATATATATATATATATGTAGCAGAATAATTACAATGTTGACATTATACCTATCTTCATTAGGTACAATTGATTATAGCAAACTTTTTTAAGTGTGAGTGTAAGAAGCCTCCACGGAGTGCCTTTTTATGTAGTTGTGATATCGCGGGATGAGCTCTTAAGGCACAATATGGTATACGTCAGAGAAGTACCTAGAGAATTTATCTCAATTACAGGTTTAATAACATATTTGTTTACCTGTTTATGTTTTGAGCCTCTGTTATGACATACACAATTCTATCCAGGTATACAACTAATAGAGGACAGAAAAAAGGCACATGAGTGGGTTTGTTGATTATTTGGGTATATTTGAGAGTATTTACTTATAAACTTGTTTCTTTTCCGCTGCGTCTAAATAGAAACGGGTAAGTCTGACAGCTACCATATTTGAGAATGAATTGTCTGTTTTTTAATATATATTCATGGAAAAACATCTCGTTGCTGGACATCACGACTAACATTTGAAAATGGCCCAAAATGTAGAAAATTATTATAATTATTTTTTTTAATTGCACTAACTTGAGAACGGCTGGATTTAGAAAAAAAGTTTCTATGTGCAATGTTTTTGAAAATTATGCGTAGAATCCAAATAAATTACTATTTTACTAAAAAATATGCAATTTCACCAACTTGTAAAAACCAACAAAAATTTCAAAAATTATAAATTTTTTTTTAAGAAAGTTACCAGTATACAATCTTCACCAAATATTAGGGCATTTTTTCAGTTTTCTTGAAAAAAAAAAAATTATAAAGATCGAAGGGGGGGTGTTTTGAGATAATCATCGTTTTACGTTTTTTAGATACTAATTTACTAAGTTTTTCTTTCAGTGTATTTTTTTCCGCAAAGATAATTTAACTACCTAAAACTTCTTCTCAAATGCCATTTTGATCAGATCAATAGTTTTCAAGTTATGATTTTTTGAAAAAAAAAATAATCCATTTTTTTATACGCCCTTTTCAAAAGTTACTCTGGAGGAAAAAATCATATTTAAATGAAAAATGCAACCATTAGTAGCAGCGAACACGTGAGAAATGTTTCATTCAAATCGGAAACACTCATGACCAACCGGTTTGCGTTTTGGGCTGGAAATGCTCTATATCAAGTTGAACATTGCATTAGGTTCTAAGAACCATTGACAGATTCTCTTCGTCGACTTTCTATTTGTATCCCCACGCCCATTTAAAGACATTCCCATGTATTTTCAGCACACAGGTCGATAAAATAAACTTTTATTTAGCATCTAATACGACAAACACAACAAGAAACGGTTATGTGCTCCGAGATGTGCTCTAGTTATTAACGAAAGAGAAAGTCGACGAAGAGAATCGATCAACGTTACTTAGGACCTAATACAATGTTTAGCTTGATATGTGCAAAATAGATGTTCGCACTCAGAGCTAACGTAATGCTTTATTGTTCTGTTAGTAGTTTTGTTATTTGTTTGTGAATCATCCTAACCGCTTTCCTAATCCATATGACATCCTACTAACCCCGAGCCGACCGCGGAAAATCGGTCTTCCGCAAACTATCATCATTTGTGTCATTTGAACCCCAAACCCTAAACAAGCTTTGATATATTCCTGGCGATGCCTCTGGCTTGGCTTGAGCAAGGAAACACCAACAGCATCGAAAGAATGATTATCGAACAAGCGACGTGCTGATTGGTTCCCGACACATAGGGGAAACAATAGCAGCACGCATTGAATAAATAAAAAGAAGAAGAGTAGAGTATTTAAGCAGTCGCCTTTCGCGCGAAGAGCATTAGTATTAAAACAGCTGTATTGAAAACAACAAAGAATAAAATTGTCGTATCTTTAAATTATTCTCTCTCTTACTCACAAGCCGAATCAAATAGCCTTTGTCAAGGCTCAAAATAGTCACTGTCGCTGTCGCTGTCGCTGTCG